TGGGACCTGCGATGATTTTTTTTTTTTAAAAAAAAAAGAAAAGTATACCCGGTTTGGTTGTAGGCTTGGGCTTATGATGATTAGAGTACCCGACCTGGTTGTAGGCTTGGGCTGATGAATGACTCACAAGAGAGGGGACGTGTTGGAATATCACTTGTGAGTCGTCCCACATTGATTTGATGGGGTAAATCCCATCACCAATTGGTTTTGGAATGGAACCTCACTAAGGTGCAACTAGGCTCACCCTCTGACGGTGTGCTTCACTGTGTGGGACGACACCCTTGATGCTCCGATTATAAAAAAAATTGACAGCCATAATATATAGTTTGCATATTGTTATCATCCGTTTTGCAGTATCGCCGACCATCACTTCGTATGCACGCCGATGCTGGGGGCCTCTCTGTTATCATCCGACCCGGTAATCCGGGATTACTTGTCCAAAATGAATTGTTATAATAATTATCATTAACGGCAGACTTGAAAATCTCACTTACTCCGGACTATATTACGAAACCGGGCTTCAACCGACGTGAAGAAGAACTGACTTATCCCATAGAGACTGAGGACGCCACGAACTGAGGTCATCCCAAACCGAAATCCCCATGAACCGAGGTCACCATTTCCGAAGCTGGTGACAAGGCGCCTATACGCCATCTCTACGAACCACGAGATCTTCCATCATTCAAGTGGGACCCGCTGACGATGCCGCCCATCAAAAGTAGCTTTATGAAAAAGGCATCGCACAAATCCCGATATGTATCTCAAAAAGTTACTATAACTAGTTACGTCTGATACTTGTAAAAGGACCTGGAACTATTTTTTATCTGAAACACGTAACAGCTCACTGTAGCTTTTCACCTCGGTTCACCTCGGACCGGGGCCATTGTTCGTTTTATAATTACATGTTCTACGTTCAAACCACCCAAAATAATTAAGGAATCATATCAGTAATCGTTGTTAACAATTACATAACAATAGTTTGGCGCTAGAGGAAGGGCCTCATAAGTTATTTGAGGTTAATCTTCGCTCTTTGGTGTCTCAGACAGCGACTATGTCTCATTCAAATCATCGTGGTCATATATCGCGAGATGGCCACAGCCGTAGCGCTGCCCAATCCGCCAGACGTCAAACGGCAGTCCCCAATATGCCCGATTATACACTCTGTTCCAAAATCCAGAGTTTTCACGTGGGTTCGCCGCCTTGATGGCTCAGACTATTCCCGGAGCGTCGACGACGGCCCCGAGACACTCTATAATTCCGACGACTCCTGCTAACCCGCAGATCCCACCTACGCGACAAGACGGTGACAGAGCCGCCTCTCACGCCACGTCCCAACCTCGCAGTCGAATGTCGCAACCACACCTAGAACGAACCGCACGACACGCTGATGTCGCACATACTCCCCTGGTGATCCCTCGCGAAAAAACAGCCGAAAGTCAATCTGGATATAAATGTATGTATAGTAAAATGTATTTAATTCTAATTCACAAATAAGGAATTAGTCTCAAATTATTCATACAACAGAATATAAATGTATGTATAGTAAAATGTATTTAATATAAAATAATTCAAAATAGTAGTAAGCATATTTATCTTTCATGGGTCTAAAATATTAATACTAAAAAATATAAAAGTCTAAATAAACAATTATTTCGCAGATCAATTATATGCGATATTAAAATGATAAATCAATTTGATAAACTAGGTGCTCGTCCAAATTACTCACACATGCAACTGGTTCACGTGAGCCAAGAGAAAGGATCCCATGCATCCCATGCAAAGACAAAAACCAGCTCACAAGAGAATATGCCACATTGATCCTATTTTTTGAATTTTTTACTTGTCCTTTTTACCTCTTGGTTACTTAGTTGTTAGGGCTTCATTTTACCTTGTATATAAAGAGGATAGCTGCGTTTTGAGCAGACACAATAAATCAATCAAACAACATATTTTTCAGATCCAATTATTCCTAAAAGAATGAAGATCATCTTTCTTGTCTCATGTTATTTCAAATTCCAACATGGTATCAGAGCCACAGGTTAAAATCTGGGGCCAGAATCTTTTCCTTTTTTTCTTCCTTTTCTTACTTCTTTATATCTCCTTCTTATCCTCTGCAAAATGAATCCACCTCCTGCAAATACCACCAACATTATCCAACCACAAAGCCAACTCATCACTGTGAAGTTATCTGAGGGAAATTACTTGATATGGAAGCAACAAGCCCTTGCTGCAATCCTTGGATATGGCCTGAAAAATTTCATTGATGGATCGATGAGAGGGCCAAAACAATACATCCAAGACGATGGAGGACAAGTGGTCATAAATCCATCTTTTGTAAGCTGGAAAAGGCATGATCAGTTGCTTTTTAGTTGGTTCTTGTCTTCCCTCAGTGAATCAGTTCTTGTGACCACAGTGGGTTTGAGCTCTTCCAGAGAAGTGTGAGAGGCCTTAGAGAGCAGTTTTGCTACTCAGTCAAGGGCCAAGATAATGCAGTACAGACTGCAACTCCAAACACTCAAAAAGGGAGACATGTCTATGAGGGACTTCCTTAACAAAATCAAAACCTGCTGTGATATGCTGTCAGCTGCTGGACAAAGGATTAGTGATGATGAGCACATCTCTTACATCCTCACCGGCTTGGGAAGTGACTACAACTCAGTAATGGTCACTGTAAATTCCAGGATAGAGCCATACAGCCTCAGAGAAGTACATGCTTTGCTTCTAAGTTTTGAAAGCAGGCTTGAAGGTTTGGATGCAGCTATCACCACTGGAATTGAAGGATCCATGCCAACTGTTAATTTCACTACTCAAGGTGGAAAAAGGGGTGGATTTAACCAAGGGAACAGAGGAAGAGGCCAGAACAACTTTCAAAATGGAAGAGGCAACAAAGGAAGAGGTGCACAAGGTAGAGGAAGAGGAAGGTTTGGAAATAGAGTGGCTTGCCAAATCTGTCATAGGAATAATCATACTGCCGACAAATGCTTCTACAGAGCAGACCTAAGCTACACCCCTAATCACAACTTCAGTGCTCAAGGAAACCAAGTCAACATGGCCCAAATCCACAATGGTTCTGCACCCTCTATCAACACTGCTGGGAGTGTAGCAGATTCTAGCCAAGACCATGTGTGGTTTCATGATTCTGGGGCCACAAATCATGTCACCTATGACTTTGGAAACATGAATCTTGCATCAGTCTACAATGGAGAGGAGAAAGTCCAGATAGGAGATGGCTCAGGTTTGAATATTTCTCATGTTGGTTCTTCTATTCTTAGATCACATGCTAATAATGATCATGCTTTTCTTCTTGATAAACTTCTCCATGTCCCTCATATCACCAAAAATCTCATCAGTGTGTCTCAATTTGCCAAAGACAACAATGTGTTCTTCGAATTTCATCCAAATTTTTGCTTTGTGAAGGACCAACAAACAAATGAAGTGTTGCTGAGAGGGAAAGTTAAAAATGGATTATATAATTTCAACTTGATCTGCAAGAGTGAAGATCAGAGTGCTCCTTGTTATCCCAGTTCCTATTTATCTGCTTTCAATAATAGTAGTCCAGCTCTTGCTGTGAATGTAATTCAGTCCAATGCCAAGAATAATTTCAAACTATGGCATCATAGACTTTGGCATAGCTCTTATGAGACTGTTAAAAGAGTCATGAATGATTGTAATGTCTCTTTTGCTAATCATGAAATGAAGGATGTTTGTGCTTCTTGTCTCAAAAGTAAAAGCCATCAATTGCCTTTTTCAAGTTCTGAAAATGACTCTTATGATCTTATTGAACTCATCTATACAGATTTGTGGGGCCCTTATCCTATTAAATCCAAACAAGGCCACTCTTATTATATCAGTTTCATTGACCACAAATCTAGATTTTGTTGGCGCTTCTGTCTTAAAAATAAATCTGACACTTACATCACCACCATTCATTTCATACAAATGATAGAAAATCAGTTTCATAGGAAGGTGAAAATCTTGCAAAGTGATGGAGGAGCTGAGTTTAAACCGTTGTCAACCTTTTTTTATGAGAAAGGGATCATCCACAGACTTTCTTGCCCATACACCCCTCAACAAAATGGAGTTGTTGAGAGAAAGCACAGGCACATTGTTGAACTGGGACTTGCTATGATGTCCACTGCCCATTTACCTAAACACCTTTGGAATT